CTGGTCGAAAAGCGAGCTTCTGTGTAATTTGAGATGTTTTGATACAAGTTGTAGAACCAGGTACAACGACTCCTTGTAGAATATTGTTACATTTGAATATTCTTCCTTCGATGTCCATAGTATCAGCCATTGAAACCATTTTTACTTTATTTAAAAGAATATAAGCCTGATTTTTATCAATTGCATGAACGACGCTCAATATGAAGCCGATTGAATAAGAATTGATTTTTGACTTATACAATATACAAGTGTCATTTGATCGTCGTTGTATTGTAAAATCATCGCCACTAAAACGTACATTATCAATAAATAATGTTTTATAAAAGAAAGTATTAGTTTGAGATAAACTTGGCCATTGAATGAAGAAATCAGGTGATGGTGATGGGATTCTCTGATATAGTTTCATATTTGCTACATCATCTCGATAATTAAAAGTAATTTGACGTTGTAAAGAACACATCCGAGAAACATATTCTCTTCCTTTCGTTGAAAACGATGAAGAGGAGACACAGATTGAGGCTTGACGATACAAATCAATATTTTTAATCAATTCAATTAATGGTGTTGATCCACCGTGTATGGTTCGAGAGAATGATGCTACATATATGACCAAATATATCATGTGAAAAAAAGATTTAAAAACAAACCCATTGTAGATTCGAAGGAAAACGTAGAATAATTAAACATCGGACCATAATCTCGAACACATGAATAAAAATGACGGATCGAATGAATAACTGATACAACGTGTCTGTCCTGTGTTGAAATACATAAATAAAGAAACAAAACAAAAGATATTGCTCACCGTATAATACAATGGGAACTTCTTATCAAAATATTTCGCTAAGTATTCCATGTCTTTATGACTATTGCTAGAAAGACATTGTTCTTCAACTATATGTGCAATAAAAACTAGTGCTTTAAGGGGGGGGTCCTGTCACCCTAAGTGCCCATTTTTATAGGTTCATTAGATAGAGTATAGTTTTTTACATATATTCTAGAATTTTTACGTCATTTGGTTCAAATTTGACCAAGTAATGAAATATCAGAAAATATAAGTTTTAGTCAAAAATGGGTCTTGGTATTGGGTCCGTATTTTTCAAATCGTGAATACAAAATAAAAGAAAAATATAACTATTTTTATACCAAAAGATAGAGAAAAAAATTCTCTATCGATTCCATATAGACTCAAGGTTATAACAAAAACTTTTTGTAA